GGGAAGCCATTCAGTGATGTAGAAATTGTGAAAGAATGCATTGTCGAAGTTGTTGGATGCTTAGACCCCGGTAATGCTTCAAAGTACAACAACTGCCTCTTTCAAGGAGAACCATAACTGACAGGCAGCATGAATTCGCCTTCAATTTAATAGAACTTCATGCAATATTTCAAAAGGAAAATATGTATTATTCAATTGCTTTGGATGAATCAACTGATACTACTGACTTGGTGCAGGTTTTATACTTCATTTGGGTCATAACAGAAGATTTTCTTTGCTACGCAGTTACTTGCTCTGGGCACTCTTGCAAACAGAACAAGGGGAATAGATATCTTCAACAACTTTCAAGGTAAATGTCATGAAGTTGGACTGAATGTGGTAAATTTAGTGAGTGTATGTACAGACGGTGCACCTTCCATGACAGGAAAACATGAAGGGTTTAATACACAGATAAAAAAAGTATTAACAGATCCAGATGTTCTCATTTCTTTTCATTGTATCTTGCATTAGCAAAAACTCTGTGCTAAAGCTACTGTTTGAAGTGACACGTTGCAACAAGTTGCAAGTATTGTTAACTATATTAGTGCAAATGCAACACGGCATCATCAGTTTCCTAACATGCTAAAGTTGAATGATGAGGTATTTAGTGTAGATTTTCTGTATCATTCTAAAGTGCAGTGGCTATTGCAGGAACAGGTATTAGCCAAAATTTTATCTCTGCAAGAACAGATAGTTAAATTTTATGAAGAACAGAATCAGTAATGCAAATTATTAAAAGCAGATTTCTATAGGAATGTAGCATTTCTGTGTGACGTTATGTCAAATCAAAACAACTTGAATACTTACTTCTTTGCAAGGTAAAACTAAGTCTATATAGACTGTGGCAAAAAATCCAAGCATTTCAAAAAAAAAAACTACCTTTTTTTCAAAACATTTCTTCTTCAAAAGGAAATTTCAGATGAATATTTTCCCCAGTTAGCAAAGCTCACTGATGAACAGGATGATATATGTGAATCATCTGAAGAATACGCAGCTGTTACAGACCTATTAATTGGAGAATACACTGAAAGGTTCACTGACTTTGAGAATCATGACATCACACTCAAATTAGCATTTCAGCCTCACCTTGTTGATATCACCAAGGCACCTTAAGAACTACAGATGGAATTGACTGAGCTTTCAGTAGATGACTTCTTCACGTTTTAAAACTTTTTATTTGTATATTTAAAAAATTGTGCATTCTAATAATTAAAATCATTTGAACAACAAAAAAACTGGCAGTCTGATTAAAGTGCATTTTACAGCCTGCAGAAAACCTTGGGACAGCTTGGTTTTACTCTAGATTTCGTTGTTGTCCCACTCTGCTTCTTCCTTCACCAACATGCAAGTTCTTTTCCTTCCCCACCAGCCAGACAGGCAGACGGAGAGGGAGGCGCAGCCTTCATTATCAGTAGTTCTCACTTCTTTGATGTGAAAGGGGCAGCACTGTCATTTAAACTTGATCCAACCTCTTTGCATCTCACACAGTTAAACAGTTAAAAGAAGTAAAATAAGAAAGCAATGCTTGTGGAACATGTAGTACGAATTGGCAGCGCCTGTCTCATTACCACTCGTCTGCTTGCTTCTCTGTTCGATCGTTTCTTTGGAAGGCAGTGGACTTGCATTTCTGTCTTCTTCAATTTTGATTTTTGAATTTCTTGATGTCAGCCATAGCGGGTTTGTCAGACCAGGTTGTGGAGGAAGTAGAGCGAGGTGCAAAAGCAAGCAGGATCCAATCTGCGCAGTGACCCACCACCAAAGTGTCAGTAGATGACATTTTAAAGTCATTGTTTGATGCTAAGAAAGATCCAATGGAACTATGGAAAAATGCAGTAGAATACCCACGCCTTCGACAACATGCACAAAAAATGCTTTCTTGCTTTTCAACCACTGATTGCTGCGAATCTACATTCTCCTACCTAACCCAAATCAAGATGCCCTTAAGGTCACAAATGATTGATACCCATCTAGAGGATCAACTAAAACTATGAACTTTCATGACGCAACCAAATATTCAAATGCTTTCCAGCAAAAAGCAGACACAACGAAGTCATTAAAAGGTTAGTTAACTTTAACAAATAGCTTTCATTTTTTGAAATTATTAAGCATATAGGTAGTTAGATTTTTACAAATTAATGTACATTTTTAAGTATATCTAATTGAAACTTCTTGAATGCAGCCTTATTTGATTATAGCTAAATTAATGCAGCCTTCCAACATGAAAATGTTTCCCACCCCTGTCTTATTACATTTACTCTTGGGTGGGGTTTCTTTTATGTGTGTGGGGGGGGAGGTACCATTTTTTTTTTTGCAAAAGAAAATTTTTTCCTAATTACATTTTTAAATTAGTTATTGCTAGCATGTATAGGAAAGCTATTGATTTTGGTTTTTTGTTTTGTTTTGTTTTCGAGACAGAGTCTTGCTCTGTTCCCTAGGCTAGAGTGCCATGGCATCAGCCTAGCTCACAGCAACCTCAAACTCCTGGGCTCAAGCAATCCTTCTGCCTCAACCTCCCAAGTAGCTGGGACTACAGGTATTCACGACCATTCCTGGCTAATTTTTTCTATATATTTTTAGTTGTCCAGCTAATTTCTTTCTATTTTTAGTAGAGATGGGGTCTCACTCTTGCTCAGGCTGGTCTTGAACTCCTGACCTTGAGCAATCCTCCCGCCTGGGCCTCCCAGAGTGCTAGGATTACAGGCGTGAGCCACTGCGCCCGGCCTGATTTTGTATGTTTAACTTGAATCTGGCTATTTAGCTGAATTTTCTTATTAGGTGATTCTGTTGAGTTTTCTATGTAGGCTAGGGATTGGCAAATTGCAAACCTCAGGCCAAATCTGGCTGTCTGTCTATTTTTTAAATAAAGTCTTATTGGAACAGAGCCATGCCCATTTGTTTCTGCATTATCTACGGTGCTTTTATGCTAGAATGGCAGAATTAAGTAGCTGTGACACAGATACTATGGCTTGAAAAGCTTAAAATACTTAACTATCAGCCTTTACAGAAAAGGGTTGCCTATCTGATGTAAGTAATTATGTTACTTGTGAATAATGACAATTCTGTTTCTTATAAATGAATTTATTCATTCATTCATTCATTCATTCACTTCTTACAAAGTGGGATCGCCAGCTTAATGATGAATGGTAATGACAGAGGGCTTTTTTCTTGCAATGCTTTGTTTCACCATTACGTCTAATGTTTAGTACACATTTCTGAAGTTATCTTTCATTGAGTTAGACAACTTTTCAGAGCTTAAAATTTTAATTTAAAGCATTGCACTTTACTCTGAGATTATGGTCTTTCTATTTATTTCTGTGAAATAGTGGTAATAATACAAAGTAGTTGTTTTTAAAATTATCTTTACATGGTGAAAAAAAGATTAATAACTATATTAATCCATGAACTAGGCCATGAAATCCAAACCTAGGAAACACTAGGCTAAGTTTTAAAGTGACAATAGTGATATGTACAGCAGAAACTCTAAATAGAGATCACACAGAGTACTGCTTTTCTTACTCAAAATTATACTGGATCTGTACCTGTAAAGAGGCAGGATAGATTAGTGGTTAAGTGGCAAAGAACAATGGGATTTGGGGTCTGGACAGCCTGAAGGAGGAATTCTGCCTACCCACTCCCAGGTAGCTGTGAGAGCTTAGGCAACCTGCCTAACTTCTTCAAGCCAGAGTTTCTTCTTCCTTAAACTGAAGGTAAAAGTAGTACCACTGCATAAATTTGTGCTCAAAATTAAATGATAGAGCACTTTGTATAATATCTGGTCAGTTATAAGTATTCAACAAATGGTAGGTATTATTATTATTATTTTATATCCCTTATTACTTAGTACATTCAAGTAGGATCATATTTTAATCTTTTGTAATAACAAAGTAGACATTTCAAGTTAACAATCCAAAGGAAGAAACAAGGATCATGCAGTTCTGACTAGGTTAATAGTAACAAATGGGTCAATGCTAATAAATACATAATCTGAGGGAGTATTTAGCTATTATGATTGTTCCATATAATTGTCCTGTAATTACGTGTGTCTCTTGTACAATGCAAACAATTTAAAAATATGAATTCAACACAAAGAAAACACAATTAACACAGGGCAAAAATAAGATCAAATATAAGTTTGTACTATACATACCAGAATCCCCCCAAATGTGGGGATGTTTAATAGGTATCCAAAAAGAAGGGTTCATGGTCAACACTTAGGAAATGCTGTTTTGGCATTAACACCGTAATGCCCCCAAAAGGAGACAAATTATTGATATGATAATGTGCATTGTGAATCTTCAGAAGAGGAAAGGCAGTATGGATTATCCTCCAAACTTATTTGCGCATGGAACCCTTCCTTCTCTGACCATTTCATAAGAATACTCTGTGGGAAATGCTGCATACAAATTCTGCTAAGAATGGAGTAAATCAATGTGAAGGTAGGAATATAAAGTTGAGAAGTTTCCATTTCTCTTTAATTAAACAGATTTCATGGAGAGGGGCAAGACTGCAGGAAGATTTTGAAAGAAGAAATGAAATGTGTTTAAAAAAACAAAACAAAACAAAAGCAGAACAAAAACCGAAGCACTAGTTAGAAAGAAGTACATCTAGAGAGTACCACCAGGAGATATATATGGTCAAGTTAGGATATATAAGAGATCAGCTTTTGAAGATGGAAGAAAAATAATTGAGTAGTGAAGAAAAGAAAAGAGAAGAGAAGAGAAGAGAAGAGAAGAGAAGAGAAGAGAAGAGAAGAGAAGAGAAGAGAAGAGAGAAGAGAAAAGTTTTAAAAGGAAAATGTGTGTATTAGCAAGAAAGTTACAATGAACTAGTTGGGCAAAACATCCTTGGATCTTCAAGCGTGTTCAACTATTACAGTTCTTACTAATGGGTAAAAAGGGAAACTGAAAGTCCAAATTTCTTAGGTTAGATTCTACAGAGCAATAAAAATTTACTTACTTCACTAGAGCAGCTGCTTCAGGAAGTACGTCAGCAAATGATTCACGGAATATGATTGCATTTTTCCTTTTACAGTTCTGTATGACATCATTGGCAAGGTAAAAGAGATTCAAACGGTGGGGATACGCAGCTAGAGATGACAAAAGACAACAAATAAAACCAAATCAGTTGATATTTATACTTAGTTCAACTTATTCCAAATACAGTGTTTTTAAACTATAACTGCTTTTTTACATGGATGTGAAAGGATGGATATAATTACATAGAAAGGAAGGATGAATAAACAGATAAATGAACTAATGAATCAGTTTATTGTACATACTAAAAACATTGACTACTTCAGGTTAAGTTTCTATTCAAGGTATTTCTCAAGTAGATTTCTCCTTCACTTTGTATACATTTGGTACTGACAAAAACCACTAACTCTGGAGAAGCTAAAATAAAATTGTACTCCCAGGAAGATAAAACAATTAAGTTGAACAAGCTGAACTAGCTGTGGGAATACCAAGGTTAGTGGAAAGAGCATGAGCTTTGGACTAGAATCAGAATGTGACTTCTGGCAAATTCTTTTTTATTTTAGGCAGAACCTTTTCATCAACCAACCCAGATACTACTCAGATACACCTAAGTCTTTCCATCTACATCTGCTGAAAGGGAGGCTCTGTTGCTACTTTCATCACCAGGTTAAGTGTCCTAAAATAATATTATCCCATGTATATACCTACAATAAGTTTTTCAAAGGCCCAATCAATTTACTACCTAGAACGCTGAGCAAAGCCACCGCAAGTTTCATTATTATGAGGGGCAATTTCAATGTCCATATCTTTGATCCATCAAGTTTTCTAGTCTCTCAATTCCTTGACCTCAAATTCAGTGACCTTTAAGAACCACTCAAAATCCCCTTCCCTGACCACAAACTTCCACTCCCATTATACTTGTTTTTCAATTTCATCAAGATCTCAGTTCTTTATTTTCTCTAACACTACATTCTCCTCCAGTACTCAATTCTTTCTCTATTGATTCCAGAGTCTTCGGTCCATTTTTTAAACTTTTCCCCCCAATCAGCGTTCTATCACATGCACTTAACAAAAATCCTAAATTTCAATCAACCTAACGAAATGTCTTTACTGCTGCTGCTGGATTCTGCTAAAGAAAAATCATACCAGAAGGCTGGGCAAGGTGGCTTACGCCTGTAATCCTACACTCTGGGAGGCCAAGGCAGGAGGATCGCTTGAGCCCAGGAGAGTGAGGTTGCAGTGAGCTATGATGACACCACTGCACTCTACCCAGGGCAACAGAGTGAGACTATTGTCTCACAAAAAAGAGAGAGAGAGAAAGAAGAAAGAAAAATCATACCAAAAGAGAATTAAAACCACATAAATTCAGTCTTGTTCAGGTGCGCCCTCAATGATACATACGCGGTCTGTCCGGAAAGTACCCAGCCAAGTAATACGAAAAATGGGGACATTTATTGAAGAAGATACAAGAAACATTGTACATAGGACAATAACGCCTCAATCCCCTTCAAAGTAGACACCTTGGGACCTCACACAGTTCTCCCAGTGTCTCTTAACCTAACCTGTACACGTTCAACATTCTCAGGTGTTCTGCTTGTTGCAGGCCTTCCAGAATGTGGATCACTTTCAACAGATTCTCAACCATCTTTGAAGCGTCTGTGTCACACTTTTACTTGCACTGCACTCATTGCATCGTCCCAGAAAGCCTTCTGAATCATCTGACTAGTTTCCGTGGAGGAGTGTTCAAGCCTAACACAAAATTTGATGCAGATTTGTTGCTCTACTCGCTTAGTCATTTTGAACGCGACGACAACACAGTACATATGCTCGCTCAACAGTGTCTAGTGTCCCACTGACTAGTACAGTGAAGTAGTCATTGTTCATGCGTGCGCATTCCAGTCTACTCTCTTTGGCTGCCAAGTTACACAGACATCATGCAAACCGTTCTTGTTACATTAACAATGGCTGGATACTTTCTAGACAGACCTTGTATAATCCCTCCACGTGTCCTTAATCAGTATCCTCTCTCTACGAGGTATTTCAAATTTTTATCACTCTTGTCAAGCCCCTATCTTACTACATCCCTTCTCACTCTTAGAAGATAAGCTTATATGCTATTTCACAGGGAAAGCAGAAATCATTAGATGGGACAATCTCTTCTAAAAAAATGTATCTGCACTTAAAATCATCCAGATCGGTTTACCTAGTAAAAAGTGTCACCCCTATCGAAGAGAAATCCCTCCACTGGATACTGTTTCCTATCTTCTCTTCACTCCTTGGGAACGTTATACTCCATTAACTATCCTTGCTTCTTGTATTTCAATTTGTATGTATAAATGTTTATTTTCTTGTAGCTCTTTCACCTCTAATTATATCTTTTTTTCTTTTTTTTGAGACAGTCTCACTCTGTTGCCCAGGCTAGAGTGCCATGGCATCAGCCTAGCTCATGGCAACCTCAAACTCCTGGGCTCAAGTGATCTTCCTGCCTCAGCCTCCCGAGTAGCTGGGATTACAGGCATGCACCACCACGCCCAGCTAATTTTTTCTATTTTTAGTAGAGATGGAGTCTCATTCTTGCTCGGGCTGGTCTCGAACTCCTGAGCTCAAGCAATCCTCCTGCCTCGGCCTCCCAGAGTGCTAGGATTATAGGCGTGAGCCACCGAACCCAGCCTCTAATTGTATCTTGATTCATATTTATATTAATGTAGTATTCCTTCTGGCTCTCTCTCAACACATATACATGCATGTCTCTCCTATTTTAAACAAGTATTCTCGTGGCCATCTTAGGTTTCCCCTAGACTTATCTTTTTCCTTCCTTGCCTTCCTTTAGTTAAGACCTTTCAGATTCAGGGGTCTGAAAGTTTTATATGTACACTCACTATCTTCACTTTAACTTCCATTAACTCCATAATTATAAGAGCTACCTTTTATTTTTTGCATTTAAAATATGCAAGCTACTATGCTAAGAGTAGATTATGTTATATAAATTATGCTATATCATTTATGTTGCCAATAGTTCATTCAAACAGTAATTGCCAAAGTTACCAATAAATTACGATTTATTAAACCCAGTGGAGATTTTTTTAAAAATGTTATTTGTTTGTGGCTTTTAGCACACAGAATAGTCTCTTAATTCCTCCTGTGGCTTCTGTCATAACCACTCTCAGTTTTTCTCTTACCTCTCTCTGGCTGCTCCTCCACAATCATGTGGAAGTAGGCATTCTGCCTGTGACCATCCTCCTTTAAATGTTGATACCCTCCAGGCTTCTCTCCTGAGCACTCTTCACTATTTACTCATAGCATACTGTTTTAAGATTTCAGGCTTTAAGTGATCTGTTTTATTCCTGGCTCTGTCACTTACTAGCTTTGGGGTCTTATACACTACTTTACTCTTCTATGTCACTTTCATTGTAAAATGACAACCTCACAATTATTAGAATTAAATGGAACAATGTATGTAAAGCATTTAGGACTGGGCTTAGCACACAGAAAATGGAATGCTATCAGCATGATCACCCACTTCCATGTCTTTAACTACAAGCACCTATATAACGACGACTCTTACATCCACACATACCAAGCCTGGATTTCCCTTTACCAGTCAATGTACACATCCACTTCTACGTCTCAGAGGTACCTTGAGCTTTCATATTTTATTGATCATCTTTCTCCTCTTCCATTTGTTACTGCTCTTGTATTTAGCTAAAACTTTAGCATTATTGTTTTAATTTATTTTATTTTATTTTTTTCAGTTCCATTTTTTTTTTTAACGGCCTCAATTTTTTTTTTAAAGGAAACAGTCTCACTCTGTCACCTCAGGCTGGAGTCCAGTGGCCCGATCACAGGTCACTGCAACATCAAACTCCTGGGCTCAAGTGATCCTCACACCTCCACCTCCCAAGTAGCTAACACTATAGACGTGTACCACCACACCTGGTTAATTCTTTTTAATTGTTTTTTGTAGAGACAGAGTCTCGCTGTGTTGACCAGGCTGGTCTCAAACTCCTGGCCTTCAGCAATACTCCTGCCTCAGCCTCTCAAAGAGCTGGGATTACAGGTGTGAGTCACCACACCCAGTGTAGCAATTCTTTTTAACTTTCCTTACCTCCCCACCCTCATTTAATAAATCTCTAACTCTAGCCAATTTTGTCTCCAATAACATTTCTCAAATTTATCCCCCCTTCTTTTCCTACTATTGCTCTTTGCTGGGCTTCATCACCTCTGACCTGGACTACTACTGCAGCAGCCTCCTAACTGGTTATTTTGCCTCTAAACTGGCCCCCCTCAAATTTACTCCCTTTCATTATTGCCAAATTTATTTTCTAATATGCAAACATTATCTATTTCTCATGTCAAATCTGCTAATGATTTCCTACTGCTTAGTGGAAAAAGTTACAAGACCTTACCCTCCTTTATAATCTGCATCCTGTGTTGTTCCAGTCTTATCTCTTCCCCATCAAATTTGAGGTTCTATCTTTAATGAATTACTCAGTTCCCAGAACCTTTGTTCATGTTCTCTCTCAGAATTTTCCTTTATATAACTCATCTTGAATAATTTTCAGTGGTTTTCTACACATCCATAGGAAATTCTAAATTTATTTCATATCAGATTCTAACCACTCCACCATCTCAATCTCTACTTCTTCCCCAAACTACCCCAAATTCTTTTTTATTACTACTTCTCCCCAATGCAAACTGTCTAGTCAGAGCACTGTGGAAATTCTGGAGGAATAAAACAAGTTGGCTGGGGTAGTTTGGAAAACTGCCTAAAGGAGTAGAAATTGAGAAGGTCCATATGGAACACTTTTCAAAGCCCTCTGTAACCTGTTTCTTGTCTACCTGCTGAGCCTCAACTTTAGCCACTTATCTCCCTTAAAGTTCCAGATTAGTGAATTACTCTTTGTTCTCATCTCCAAGCCCTATAGCCCTTCCCTTGTATTGCTGCCCTTGTTTCAACAGGCTAATTCCTTTTCTTTCTTCAGGTCTCAGCGTATACATAACATCTTCTTCAAAGAAGCATCCCTTGACTCCACAAGACTATGCCTTTAGTGCACCATGTCTTACACCTACCACAGAATTTACCACACTGTTGTGTACTTGTGTGTATACCCCA